TGAGATTTCATTTAAAATACTTCGTCAGTAAACTGAGGTGCTCCTAAATTAACCAGAAGCATAGTTCCAATGTTCGCTACATGTTATGGTGCGAGGCGATTTTAAACCAACACAAAGAAAGGTGTGAACGAGCACTGAGTTAATCCGGTGAACTAAAGCAAACAGGAGTTTTCTGCCCATGGATTCAGGCTGTATTGGTGTGTTACGTTGTGTTGTGTCAGCATTCATCTGTGTGCACAATGGGCGATGTGAGCCCTGTGACTAAAGGCCGACCCAGAACAGATACCTTTGTGGATGCTGAACTAAAGCATAGTTCCAGCATACATCGCCCAAACAGTTCTGGTCACTTTGGATGCAGTGCAAAGCCCAGGAGTTTGTCCATTGAGCAAAGTTTAGAAAAAAATGAGTTGCAAGCTTATAAGCTTATTCCTGAATCCTTTAGACAGAGATTTAGAAACAGTGATAAAACTGGCAACCAGACTTTTGTAGAGTTCAGGTGAAAAAAGAGTGTGTTGTCTGATAGATGGTTTCAGGCGTGTAATATATTCTATGGAATGTATTCAGAAGGACATTCAGGAGTACTGGTTGAATAACGAGGACGCAGTGTCAAATCCAGCCATGTGATGCATTTAAGGCGGTTATTAGAGGACGACTTATTCAACACTGTTCATATCTGAAAAAGAGAAAGCATACACTTTATTCAATCTGACCACTCCACCCTGCTCAATCTAAACAAATTAAAAACAGAATTTAACTCGACACTACAGAAGAAAGTTGAGGCATAAATACTATGACTAAAGGGAAAAAAGTGGGAGATTTCTGGCACAGACAGGAAGACAATCATCTACAGCAGCCATATATGATGATACAAGCGAATTAACAACAGGGGATAAAGACATCAACACTATATTTACAATGTTTTATAGAAATCTGTATAATTCAGACAATCCAGAAAATGAAGATATTAAATCATTCTTATCTAATATAAATTGTGTAACATTTACAGGGGTGGAAAAGTTGAAAATTGGGGCAGACATTAATCTGGAGAAAATTTTAAAAAAGCTATTCAGAACCTATAAAATGGAAAATCTCCAGGGGAGGATGGACTCCCAGTGGAGTTAAATAAAACTTTTTTCAGATTTCCTCACCCGAAGACTACGTCAAGTTTTTAAGGATGCAGTAGAGAGGGGATCTCTCCCTGATAGTATGACAACTGCTGCCATCATCTTAATTCATAAAAACAGATCGGGACCCACAGCAGTGTGGCAGCTATCCACCTGTATCGCTGATAAATGTTGACAAGATACAGTCACAATTCTGGCTTCCAGGCTGGAGGTATTTTTACCTAAACTTATTCACCCAGACCAAGTAGGTTTCATTAAAAATAGGAAATCAGACAGTCTGACAATCTTCGCAGGCTGTTTCATCTTATGTGGCAAGCTGGGAATGAGATGGGCATAACTGTTGCTTTCTCTCTTGATGCTAGAAAAGCATTTGACAGGGTGGAGTGGTCATTCCTTTGGCCTGGGTCCCCCATTTATTCAGTGGGTCAGATTAATATATCACTATCCTAAAGCATGTGTGGTAACAAATGGCACTACTTTGATTTGACCAATGGCACTCTCTTACACATGTTGTACTCATGCCCTAGGACACATCTGCATCTCCAACAATGTTTCCTTTATTGGCAAAGTCCCGTCCTCTGGATCGGCACCGGGACCTCCGCTCTGCCTGTCGGGCATAATACCAAAGGAATACGGGCTGAATGCCCGCCAAATTTCACGATGCAGTAAAATTTCAAGTTTCAGTAAAGGAATGGTTTGACGAAATGGCTAAAATCTCCTCCTATGAAAGACTAAGTTATAAACTTATAGAGAGGGAAGAGGCGTATGTAAAAATATGGGGCCCTTTCATCGAGATAACCTGAAGTGCCAGAGTTACACCCTTACCTTACCGATGCTATATTTCTTTAGGTGTCAAGTGTAGTGTGAGGTATGCTGGTTTATTTAGTATGGAGTGATGTTTTACTTAATACTGAAAATCTGTTGTAAAGAGTGTATATTTAGCATCCACACACCCACAAAGTTTATACATTTACCTACACAAGTGTCCATATAAACAGGTTGTATGACATGATGCTCCGGCACTGCTGTGCTCCTGCTGTCTTTGTTCTAAGTCTTGTTCTATTTACATCATCCATTAGGTCATCATTTTGCTTCCATATAGATGTAAGTATGTTTGGTTGTGAAAAAAAGAGAAAAACTTAAAAAAAACAAAAAACAAACCCTGTTGTGCTCTTGTCCTGTGTTAGCAGCTCCACGGTTTGACCAGGCCTTCATGTTGTAGGTGAATGTCAGCCAGGTCGAAGTAGGTGCCATTTTGCTTCAGGAGGATGGTGAGGGTGTGGTGAGGCATATTGTGGCGGTCCATTTTGGTTCTGCCTTGCCTTGACCCAACTTTGCTCTGTCTGTTTTCTTTAAATGCTTCTCAGGTATTCCAGCGTTGCTGTGAGCAGGTGGGGTTAAAGCAGCAGGCCCAGCTGAGTAATACATTTGTGTGCATTTTCTTTGTCACCCCTTCAGTTTTGAAAATATCGCAATGGTGGGTTAATAACTGTCAGGTTCAATGGGCGATCGTGCTAGGGCCCAGATTTTATGGGATGGGGCTTGACGACCCTGCCCAGTATGTTGGTTGGGCACACTGGCTGTCTGTGCTTTGCTCTGTTTCTTCAGGTGCCTCCACTGCTGGAGACTGAGTGGGCGGTCCCACCTGCTTGGTGCTCCCAAGGCTGCTGAAGACCCAAAACCTCAGCTCTCTCTCCTCCTGCTCGTGGCTGCGGCCCCACTGTCATTTGGTTTGCGTTGCTACACCTGACAACACCTCGCACCACATTGCATTCAGGCATCCACAGCTACACCACTGATACCACCGACTCACACATCTCACTTCGTTAGTATTGCAAGTATTACTTAATAGAAGATAACACTTTCTTTTGGCAACACCTGTGTCTTCTCCCATCTTTTGTCATAGCCTATTGGCTGGGTTGTGAAAACTACACATCACTTAATCTTTAGAATGCACAACAGTGAAACAGCTTGTTCTGCATATCAGACAGGCTGACAGGGTCACAGACAAAATAAAAATACTACTTTCCATCACTATAGCTAACGCAGTGGTTGCATGTGCTGGTTAAAATGACCCTAAAAAGGCTTAATGATTATCATTCACTCACACAAATGCGACCATTTAAAATTTTAACTCGCACACTCTCGAGTTCTGAAACAAACCCAGAGCCAGTAGAGCCAAACACACATCAGATCCTCTGAACATTTGGTGGGAAAAAAAAGTCCGATTTCATTCATTATTAGTGAGTATCATTATTCTTTAAGCTGTGATTGTAAAGCTTAAAGTTATTTTTTGCACACAAACTGTATTAAGTGTCTCTGTGATGTTTTTGGACAATTGTTGATGTTGAAATGTGGAAAAATCCTTTTAATTTCTTCCCATAACTCTAAGTACCTGCACTTATTAATGTTCACACCATGCTGAAGAATACATAAAACTACTTTGTCTGCCTGGAACATTGCCACTGTGACTTTTGCAAATAAGGGACAAGGGTTCGCATTCACACATGCAGCCGACCCGTTTAATTGCCATCAGATTAACGGAACACAGTGCATGTCTGAAAGGGTTCACGATGTACACCGAAATTCGTAAACATAGGACACTAACTACATCTCGCTGGCCGAGCACATCAGGTACCGACTCCAGCAGGAGGGTGAGTCGATGCTCACAAGCAGAGGCATTCAGCAAAAACTTGCCAATTAAAAGAAAAGGCTTTTAGGAATGGGGCCTTACAAAGTCTGAGGCTAATACTGACTGTTAAACTAAGAGTTTGCATGACAGGCGGGTGAGATGAAATCAAAATACAGAGCAGAGTATCGACCACTGCTAAACTCACACAACGTGTAGGTCCCTTATGGGTCAATTTAATCCACAAAATACAGACTAACACTAATCAGCGGCTGAAATGTTTTCCGTGAGATTTTGAACATTAATATAGCAGCAAACAGCTATCTGCCACATCAAGACAAAATGGGGTAATGGCGTCTTTAGTGGAGACTGAAGTCCTGCTCCCTCTCTGCATGTTGCAGTCTGTGCTCTGTATCCAGTTGCACATGCATGTCAATCCCTCCCCACGTTTCTCAAAAGACTGCGTGACCTCCCACACCACGCTGAAAAGTGCAATCAGCTGATGCCACAAAAGTATTTTATTTATCAAATATATATATACATATATATATACAGTCAGTTCATTCTAGCTCCGCGTGAGAGTTCCTACAACTGAATTTTTCTGCTCTTTGTACTTTGTGTGTTTCTTTTTGACAGTAAATAACTCATCACGGCTGTTCCATACATTTTATAATGCTAGTGTGGACTAATTGTTTTGGATTTTTTTGTTGGCTCTTGTGCTCACAACTTTTCTAGCTGTGAATGAAATATGAAGGAAGGAGAGGCGGTGGGGCTGATGCACCCCTTTGTTGTAGGCTGAGATGCTGGTGCTCCAGTGACATCCAGTGGTTGTCAATGTTATAGACAGCACCTTCAAAGTGTGTCATATCTCACCATTAGTTTATAATTTATTACAAAACATTAGAATACACTTTAAAGGCTATAAACTCAACTAACAATAGAATTCTAATGTTATCTTAATACCTGTTATGCAGCGAGTCTTATTTTCTTCTCACTAATATATGGTCAGTCAATAAAATGATTCTTCTGATCCCTCACAGAAAAAGGCAGTGCTGAAAATACTATGGAAAAGACAAAAGCAGAGAAGTGGCTTGTCTGCTTCAGCCCATCCATCTGTCCTAGCTGTGGTGCTGGTTCTGACTCTTGATCAGGCTCAGTTTGCTCTTCAGGCCCTGGCAGTGGGCTGACAAGTTGCTGTTTTCCTCCAGCAGCTTGCTATGTTCCTCGATGAGTCGAGATGAAGTCAGCTGCTCCCTCTGGTCCTGCTCCAGCTCAGACATTAGCTCCTGTCTGAAAAGAAAGAACAGTGCAAAGCATTTGCTGCTATCAGTATATCTTCAGCATTTTTTTAACTGGACAGGAATTAGTTACATCGCAAAATAGTAGTTCAACATTTTAAAAAAAAAAACCCTGTTTGTATCATTTTGCTTTCTTTGTGTTGATGAGATGAGCAGAAACAATAGCAAACAAAAGGACTTAGATAAGCAAAAAGACTGGACGGCGGGTTTGGGGGCAACTGATTTTTTATTTTTTTTTTATCTGTATGCAAACAGAAATGTAAAAACAATAATTTGTAGTTTTCGAGGAAGTTATGCGCTCGAAATACTCTTTGTCATGTCATTGCAGTGGGGTTGTGTAGTACTATGAGGTACAATCGCTGTGCCTGCACAGAGAGCAAAAGCAAAGCCCACGCCTTCTGACTGTGCTCGAGCCGAGGACACTGCACAGAAAAACCAGACAGATTGATACACTGCACTTTCCCCAAAAATACATTTTGTGAGGGTTTTTGTAGGGAAGTATATAATCAGTTGGAGTAAAATGTAAAGGTAACATACAATCAGAAGATTGAAAAAGATCATATCATAAGACAACTAACTAAATAAAAACACTGGGAGGCACAGGGACTTACACAAAAACAAGATGTCAGAAAAGGATAAGGAAAAGGCTGACAAATCGTGCAACTCACTGTGAGAGCAACATGTACGTAAATAAATCCTCTTAAAAAGTTCTCAGCAGGGTCACAAGCAGAGCGGAGTCCTTGTGAGGTTTGAACAGTGATTTATTGCAAAACAGGTCATGCAGAAACATAGCTCTGTTGGTCACGTGACTCCTGAGATGGTTTCTGTGAATATGACCACACAGGTCGACTCATGTGACAGCTTGTTTCACACAGACTGATAGAGGAATTCTTTAATGTACAAACTCTTTCTTGTCTCAGTTGCTCTTGAGATTTTTTTTACTCTGTGTAGTTGGCAATAAATATACACGTGGACTGAGAATTGCTTACGCTGCTCATTATCTTTGCAAATTTGTTAGTATAGTTCCGTGACTGTAGTCAGAAAATACTCATCAGTTTGCATGCTGTTCCTGTGGCTGGGCGGTTTAATCGATTCAATTCAATCATTAAAATAGTTGTCAATTTGTACAAAAAAGGATTATAGTTATATTGGTATACTTTGCAATAAAATAAACATGATTTTTGTATAGTCACTCATGAAAATTCATTTTTACTATAATTATCAGGTATTTGGGTTTTTCTAGCTTAGACTTTGCTTTCTTTAAAGTAATCTCTTCTGGCTTTAACAACAGCATGGCATATACAAGGCATTCATTCCACAAGTGTTTTAAGGTATGTGCCAGGAATTGTATTCCAAGCTTTCTTAAGTTCATCAGTGAGAGACTGTGGGATGCACTTTTCTGACTGGTTAATCCAATTTGTCCCACATAAGCTCATGTGGAGAGAGGTCTGTACAGGGCTCCAGTCTTTGCAACCTTTTTTGGAGAGTGTGTGAGTTGAAATTTCAACTGGCTGAATTTGTGCAAGTGACTGATGATCATGAAGCTGATCTGGTATCACTGTAACCGGCACAGGCAGCTACTGTGTTCACCACAGTGGTGGAATGCAGCACTTTTATCGATCCATCGTCCACACGACACACATTCACACAGTATGTCACCTGCCACACCAGAGACAATAAAATACTGGTACTTTTTTTATGCCAACACCAAAGAGTCATATAAATCATCTCCTCTCTCACCCCTTGGGAAATCGGATCACAACTTGGTTCACCCCCTTCCCTTGTACAAACCTCTGGTACACAGACAGCCAGCTGTCACCCGAGCAGTCAAGAGTTTGTCCGAGGAAGCTGAGGAAACTCTCAAGGACTGTTTCGACACCACTATGTGTGAACTGTTCTGTGAGGATCATGGGGAGGACATCGACAACCTCACACACTGCATCGCTGATGATATCAATTTCTGTGTGGATTACACCAAGTCCACCAGGACTGTACACTGTTTTGCTACAGCAAACCCTGGATGACTCCTGATGTAGAGACTCTCTGATACCCCTTTTCCACCAAAAAGAACCAGATGCCATCTCTGTGCTGGTGCTAGGGCTGGTGCCTAGTTGGTTCCAATCTGGCACCTCTGAAGAACCGGTTGCTTTTCCGTCAGCAAGGAGTCAAGTTAGAGCTACGTCACTGCATATGTAGCCGTTTACCGAACAACGCTTGTGCCACATGGAAGTCCAAACAGAACTCCAGACGTTCTTCTTTTTTGTTTTTCCCGGTGCAACCAAGTTTCTCATTTGGTCGCACTTCCCACCTTGTCACAGGAAAAAAATGACTTCTTGAACATTTTCCTTTCGATAGACTCCACAAGTTACCAATGTTCACCAAACGCCCCACATTGCAAGCTGCGGTAGCTGCTGTAGGTGGCTGCAGTGCTCAGACCGGTGTGTGACCAAAAATGACTTTTAAAAGAGTAAACCAGGGCGTTCTAATGTCAGATTTGTTCGAGATGAAACTGAGGGATTTTTTTCTCATGCAGTCTTTTCTACGAGCGGAGTAAGCAGCACATGTAGGTGTGCTCCGTTTTTCACAAGGAGCATTTCTAAGCGTAAATACCGAAGTACACCGAAGTTATAAAAGTACTGTTCTCCACCACTGTGGTGCTACTGGTGCAACACAATTGCAGCAGTGTGTGCAAAACTTCCTTGTGTCCCTGGAGTCATTCTAATACATCTGTGATCGGACCAGAGACGATCAACACAAATCACGCTTGTGTGTCCCATTCATCGGTCTTGGTGGTCACGATAATCCCGCCCCCAGCCCCTGACGTACTCGGTGCTTAGCTCTGGCCCAGCAAAGAGTTGGTGTCTGAAAAGCACCAGTTTTGAGAGCCTGGAGCCGGTGCTTTGGCGGTGGAAACACAAAGAACTAGCGCTAAGTCAGGCACCGGCTCCGAACCAGCACTGGAACCAGTTGGGTGGAAAGGGGGTCTCAAAGGACAGACAGAGAGCTTTAGGTCAGGAGACAAGGAGGAGATGAGGACTGTGCAGAGAGAGCTGAGGAAGAAGATCAGAGAGGGGAAACACAGCTACAGGAAGAAGATGGAGGATCAGTTGTTGCAGAATAATGTCAGCGGGATCTGGAGGGGCCTGAAAATCGTCTCTGGCCTCAAAGACCCCAAGACTGAACTGAAAAGTGATCAGGAGTGGGTGAATGACCTCAACACCTGTTTTAACAGGTTTGAACAGCCAGCCACCCCTCCTCCAGCCCAGTCCATCCTGCAACAGCCACCACTGCATTTTTCTGCACCCCCTGCTGACTGCACCACCCTTATTGCATCCCCCCTCTTTACTGGTCCACCACAGCTCTCCTACCAACACACCTCCCCTCCCCCCACAGGGCCCCACACTCACAACTAGCACACAGCCCCCTTGCCCCAACTTGCCCCTATCAACATCCCTGGTGAAGAGAGAACTGAGCAGGCTGAAGATCAGGAAGGCCACGGGTCCAGAGGGCGTCAGCTCCAGGCTCCATAAATCCTGTGCAGATCAGCAGAGCAGGGTTGTGGAGCATATCTTCAACATGAGCCTGAAGCTGGGAAGAGTACCACAGCTGTGGAAGACATCCTGCACGATACCAGTGCCAAAGATCTTGCACTCCAAGGACTTCAACCACTACAGGCTGGTGGCACTAACATCCCACCTGATGAAGACCCTGGAGAGGTTGGTCTTTTGTCATCTGTGACCCCTGATGAGCTCATCAATGGACCCACTGCAGTTCGCCTACCAGCCCGGCATCGGGGTGGATGATGCAGTGATCTACCTCCTGCATAGATGCCTCTCTCACTTGGAGAAGAAGAGCGCTGTGAGAATCATGGTTTATGATCTCTCCGGTGCCTTCAGCACCATCAAGCAGCACTTCTGAGAGATAAGCTGGAGCAGTCAGGAGTGGACTCTCACCTCACAATGTGGCTGCTGGATTACCCACCAACCAGCCACAGTGTGTGAGGGCAGGAAGTCCAACACCATGGCCTGCAGTACCGGGGCCCTGCAGGGGGACTGTCCTTGCCCCCTTTCTTTTTACCTTCTACACTGCAGACTTCTCTCACCACACCATGAACTGCCATCTTCAGAAGTTCTCCGACGATGCCGCCATCTTCAGCCTCATCACTGACGGAGATGAGAAGGAATACAGAGAACTCAACCGAGACGTTGTGGACTGGTTCCTGCTGAACTGCCTCCAGATCAATGCGGTGAAAACCAAGGAGCTGGTGCAGGAACTGACACACTTCTCCTTCATCAGTGAACATCTAGGTAATGGACATTGAGATTGTGGACTCTTACAAGTGCCTGGGTGTTTACTTGAGCAATAAACGGGACTGGACTGCTAACACCAATGTACTTTTCAAGAGAGGTCAGAGCAGACTGCACCTGCTCAGGAAACTAAGGTCCTTCAGGGTGCAAGGAGCACTTCTGAGGACCATCTATGACTCTGTGGTGGCATCAGCCATCCTGTATGGAGTGACCTGCTGGAGCAGCAGCATCACAGATGCAGACAGGAAGAGACTAAACAAACTGATTAAGAAAGCCAGCTCTGTCCTGGGCTGCCCCCTTGATCCTGTGGAGGTGGTGGGAGAAAGGAGGATGATGAAAAGCTTTTGTCCATCACGGAGGACACTTCCCACCCTCTGCAGGAAACAGTAAGATCACTGGGCAGCTCCTTCAGTGACAGACTGCTTCCCCCGCGGTGCCTAAAGGTGAGACACCATC